AACTGATGGTATTCCAGGGTATGTATACCTTATAGGGTATGTAAATTGCTAGGGTGGTGCATCTTGAGTGGACTAGGCTTGATGTGGCCCAAAACCAGGAGGATACATAGACAGTCACCTCTTAGAATGGATGATTCTATGCAACTATTTTTCTCGATATTTTCCCCTTGTTCAACTTATTCAAAACCTCTAGAATCATGTTTAATATCCCTTTAAGCTTCTCTTGAGCTTTCTCTATCATTTCGAGATGATTAAAATTTTTTTTATTTTATTTATCTAACTCGAGCCCTTATATTGTATTGGTGAGTGAGGTTCTTGCTTAGTAGAACTATCCTTAAACCTTGAGCACCACAATTATGTTATTAGAAATGCTATGCTTAATGTATGATATACTAATGCATTATGAGTAAAATGTGTATGTTCATGGATGAAATCTAATATAAGAATGATGCAGATGCACAATGTTACATATGACAATAAAAGTGATGCATGGCATGATAATGCAAACGCACAAAGTCAAACAATCAAAATGGTTAAATAAACACAAATTGTTCTTTCTTGTGTCCTAGTTTTGGGGTATATCTACCACTTGATAGGAAGGGTTCTATCTTAAGGCTGGCCTCTTAAGTGTACACTATATACAGGGTTAGATAAGTTTAACTACTAAAGGTTTTCAAATTGTTTCTTATATCATCGTCCATCACAGATTGTAAGACAATCTAATCCTCACCTATCACAGGTTACAACAAAAAAGATTTAATTTGAGTAGGAGTATTTCTCTAGCCATTACAGAGATTATCATCTCACAAGAGCGTAGGTATTTTACTCCCTCCTAAAAGGGACGTAGCCTGTGTATAAAGCTCATGTAATACAAATGCATGCGGTGGTGTGTGTGAATAAACATATAGGTTTCATGCCCCAAAATTAAAAAAACAAAAAAGATAAAAATGTTAGTAAACAGATAACACAAATCATTACAATTTAAAACCACTAGACCAAAAATAGGATAAATTTAAAAGTTTATGTCTTGACTCTCTAGCTTCCCCAATGGAGTCGCCAAACTATTATAATATACAGATCCATAAATCTATAGCTAGACTTAACGAATGGAGTTACCACCAATCTTTTTTTATTAGGTGTGATTGGTAACCTAATGAATCTATCCTTTTAAGAAGCTCCTAAGCTTGATAAAGGATCCCTAAAAGAATAAGTTCGGGTCTACTAACTAAAATAAGGTTCGAAAGTTTGATTACATGTGGAAAATATTATAGCACCCTCATATGCCCATTCGAAAAATGGTACCATTTTATTTTAAATTTATCCTAAGGTCTTGATTCTAATGGTCTTAAATTTTATGTTGAATATTGAAAATAACTTTTAAGATTCTCTATCAATTTGGTATAACTCTTAAAAATATTTTTTTACCTCAAGAGTATTCAAAGATCCCATTTGTTTCATTGGAAAGGCTCCGTCATAAAAAAAAAGTTTAATTAATTTTTTTATTTTTTATGAAAAATATATCTAATTATTCCACGATTTGGGCCAAATTAAAAATATATATATTTTAATTTCTAAATTCTCCACCATTTAGGTTTATTTAGAAATTTTATTTATTTACTTATTTATTTTTAGATTTTAAAATTTTTCACAATTTGGGTCAATTTATAAATTTTTTTTTTGAAATTTCTAAATTTTTCACGATTTAAGCCTATTTAGAAATTTTTTTAGGAAATAAAATAATATGAAAATTATTTTTTATTAAAATTTCATTTAAATTCTTCTATAATTTGGGACAAATTTAAAGAAATTTCTTACTTAGAGATTTCTTAAAATATTTACCATTTGAAATTTTTAAGAATCTCATCCTTGGATAATTGTCAAATATTTTCAACAAATTTTTTTTTATTTTTTTCTCTTTTTTTTGTTAAAAAATAAATATTAATTATTATTATTGAAACTTCATTTAAATTATTTCACAATTTGGGACAAATTTAGACAAAATTTTTCACCTAAAAATTTTATAAAAATTTACTATTTGAAATTTCTATAAATTTCATCATCGGATAATTAATATTTATTCTAAAAAATTTTTATTTTTATATTTTTTTTCAAATTTAATCATGCACAAATACTCCTAAAAATAAATAAATACATAATAAATAAAAGATACCCAAAAAATGAAACAGTTTAGCTTAACGGCTGCTGAACGGCTCAGTTTAAGGCACAAAATGCAGCTCGAGGGGACACGACTTGGCGGCTTACTGTGGCTCAGCTTGGCTAATATGGAACAATTAGTACATAGGTCAAAAGGCTGGTTGTGCTTCGGGTTGGATCACTTGAATGAAAAACGAGCAGATCCTAAGTAGCGAAAATGGCATTATTTTAGTGAGGCTATAAAAGTTCAAATTCCAACTTTTTGCTTCAAATCTCCCTTTCCCCCTTTCTGTTTTCCCTTTTTTTTTTCTCTTTTTCTAGAAATCAAAAAACTTCGATTGAATCTTCATTGAATTCTGAAAAAAATCATTAAAATTTGAGTTGGTTTGTTAAAAGTTTACCAAAAAATTCAATCGGCACCAGAATCTTCAATCGAATTCTGGGAAGCCTACCAAAAAATTCAACCAACGTCGAAAAAGTCATCGAAAAATTCAATCGATGTAAAAAAATTTCACTAAAAAATTTCACCAGAACTGAGATTTTTTAGATTTTTCTAGAAAAATCATTTTTTTCTAAACCTAAAACGAAATTTTTTTGACTGTTTTCTGCTTGCTGTGTTTTTGTGTTTTGCCTCTATGTGTTTTTTGTATATTTATAGGGATCAGAACCCTAAACTCAGAAAGGATTTCAATCCCTTCTAAGTTTTAACTCCAAATTTTAATCCAACTTAAGCTTCTCATATACTTTCACATAAACTCAACACCTATTTTTTCGATTTTTCTCATTTTTTTATTTTTTTATCTTTTTATTAACATAATTCAAATCTCGTAGAACTCTAGATAGATTGGGGTGTCTACAATATCTTTTCTTTATATTTATTTATTTATTTATTTATTTTGATTTTGATTTATTTATTTATTGTTAATTTCTATTTCTTATATATTTGAAATATAAAAAGTAAAAAATAGATAAAAAATAAAAAACTTTAAAAATGACATAAATATAACAGTTAGATTGAAAAACCCATAATCAATAAACTTAGATACATAATCAACAATAAAAGCAATTATAAATATTTCATTTTGTCCAAAACTTTTTTAGATATTAAATGGATTTTGAATTTCATCTCGATGTTGGATTCTAAAATTAATTTTGGATCAATTGAATTTTGATTGTGAAATTAGATTTTAAGCCCAAATCAAAAAGCCCAAAATTATTTTATTTGTTATTTTTATTATTTAGCTAGTGGAAGTGAAGAAGTCAAAGTAAAAAAAAAACAAAAAAATCAAAAATTGAAAAAATAAAGAAAATATGAAAACATTTTGGAAAGATTGATGTCGGAAAATTTTAAGAATTTAATAACAATCGACAAGATAACAAAAATAAAGACAACCAACAAAAACAATTAGAAATAATTTTTTGTTGAGAATTTCTTTTTTAGAGGTTTCAGGTTTAGAATTTTTATAGCATTTTACTCAATTTTGCTTTAATCGATGATATGAAATAGTGATGTTGATGATCAATTTTTGGATATCGATGGTTTTTAGGATAAATTTTTTTACGATCATTGTATTTTTCAATAACTGATTTTTAAAAATCTCATTGAAATATGAGTTCGTTAAAGGAGATTTGTAGAGTGAAGTAAGAAAAAATGAGGATGAGAGAGGAGAGAAAAAAGAAAAATTAAAAAATAATTTTTTGTTTTTATAACAGGTTGAAAAGACGCTATTTTAGAAGACTAGTCCGATGCAGCTCATGTGTTGACCCATGCATTGATTCTGTTACAATTCGACTTATTTGTATTGAAAAGTTTTTTTATGCTTTTTTAGTTTTATTTACTTATTTTAGGTCAAATCTAAATTCGATAATTAATTCATATATAAAGATCAAATTTGAGCATATATTAAGATAGAATGATTAATTTTACCATTTAACCAAAGTATATAGACGAAACATACAATTTAAGAAAAATTGATGTGAAAAATGCTGATGCGGTAAAATTTTTTTGCCATGTTATCAATTTTACTGCGTGGCCTTTATGTTAGCAAAATCAATATCCATGTAAGCAAAAATGTCATGTTAGAAAAATCAAAATGTCACTTATCAATTTTAATGGAAAAATTTTGAAATTTAACAATTTGATTAAATTTTATAATTTATTAAAATATAAAGATTTAATTTAAACACGTTAAAATAAAAGAATTAATTTCATCGTTTGACTAAAATACATAGATCTATTATACAATTTGACCACAAATATATAATAAGCATATATATTTAATTACTACAAAATTTCTGAGTCAAGAAATAATCATATAAGAAATGGAATTGAATTTTTCCCACACCATTTACAGGATTTACATTTCCATATATATATATATATATATAATTCATGCATGCTTTTAGTATTGCTAAGGAAAAAAAAACATGAAATGTTTAATAAAATATACGAAATTAATTAGTTGGAAATGAAAAAATAATAATCAACTGTCATTGGAGTTTTTAAGTTCATTAACAGAATTAAAAAATTATTACATATTTGATTGAAATATATTAAAAAAAATAACTTCACAGTGATAGTTTTATTTTATTTTATTTTTTTATAAAAAAAAATGAAAATGATAGAGAAAAAAAGGACTATAAATTAAACTCGAATATATACAGGGGAGGCTTTCAGCATTGTCAGCTATCTTCAACCTAATTTTGTTCATACTTCAGTCTTAAGCATATATAAATAAAATCCCTAGCTACCTTCACTGTTGGCATCGCCCATGTAGCTGTAGCAACGTTCATCTATAGATATTTGCTCCTTTTCCCTTTCATTTTCTTGTTGATTTAGTTCCCAATTGATTTTCTTTCCATGTTTGCTGCTTTGTTTGCTTTTGCATGATATAGAGAAACACATACAAAGGGGAATCATCAAAGATTTATAAAGTGGATCGAAGGCAAGGGAAGAGGCCACTGCCATCCGATCATGAATCGGAAGAGAAAGAGGAAGCGGTAGCTGACCATTTCTTTCCTGTCTACTCGGCTAGGTCTCAACAAGACATGAACGCAATGGTTCAAGCCCTAACTCAAGTTATTGGAAACAACAACAACAGCCCACTTCTTCAACATCATGAGCAGCAAAACCGATCTGACACAGCTGATCAAAACCAATCTCAACATCAACAAGCTCAAGATCAAGGTAGTATGTTATGCATATATTTTGGGGTTTTTTTTTATTTTCTCTCTTAATTGTTAAAGCTTTTCTTTTGGTGATTATTGTCAATTTGATTATAATTAATTATCATTCATAAGCCCTACTTAATCATATTTTTCTTCAAAAACAAAAAAGACTAATGACTGAGAAGGATTTCTATATGATTTCATGTGTTTTAAAGGTATTTTCTTTCACTTCCAAAAGTTCCACAATATATATATATATATATATATATATCTTGCTTTTTTTTTTTTCCAAACCAAGATTTAGAAATTATGATTTATGAATGTTTATCTAGCAAAAAAGAAATTATGAATGTGATTTGATCCCACAAAATTAAAGATATATATGATAAAGTCTAAATGCTATTGATTCACTTATTTTCTAGCACAATTTTTGGGATTTTTTATGTTGTAAATCAACTTATATTAGCACATTAATGGCTTCCCAAATCTCCCTCCCTCACTATAACCAAATTCCTAGAATTTCAACGTTTTTAATGACATGTCATGGGCCTTTTGAGCTATTCCTTTCTTCCTTTGCGGCCTGGTTGGCGGATGATTTCAGATTAGACTATTAGAGTCGTTGTTCATGTCCTAACTTAGCATATATCTTCCTTTTTCATGTAAAAGCGTGAATGTGAAGTTATTCTTTGATTCTTTCTTTTTCCATTAAAAACTAGAAACAAAAAGCAAAAGCAAAAGTTTTCGTCTGATGTTTACCTTGAAAAAAACGTGAGCTGTTAAAGGAAACGCGAGGAGAAGACACTATAGAGGAGTAAGGCAAAGGCCATGGGGGAAATGGGCAGCTGAAATAAGAGATCCAAAGAAGGCCGCTCGCGTTTGGCTTGGAACGTTTGAAACAGCTGAAGCAGCTGCCCTAGCTTATGATGAAGCAGCTCTTAGGTTTAAAGGAAGCAAAGCAAAGCTTAACTTTCCAGAAAGAGTTCAAGCAATATCGGAATCAGGTTATCTGGCAACTAGCCAAGAAGTGGAACGGGCGCCGCCGGCGGCGGCTTTACTTCTTCCTCCACCTTCTCCTCATCCATCATATCCCAATATTTCTCAGTACGCACAGCTTCTTAGCGGAGGTGGCAATGCTTTAGACTATGGTTTACCAGCTGCTGCCTATGGCGCAGCATTGCCAGCTTTTACTTCACACCCCACAACTCTATCTTCATCTTCCACGATGATATCATCACAACAACAACAAGAGTACTTCAGTGGGTTTTCACAGCAGTTCGGTGGTTCATCTGCAAGTTCGGATCCACCTCCTAAGAACAGGAGAGAATATCATGATTATTACTATTCAAGAGAATAGTTAATCGACTGCATGCAGGTTTGCTTTACTTGGGAGACAAAACTGTTCTTGTTGGTTTTTTTTTTCTCTTTTGCTTGCATTTATTTTCCTTAATGCTTGTTCCAAAACCCCTTATCAACCTTTGGTTTTTCAAGTTTTCAGCAATTCCAGAATCGTTTGTTTGATGAAATCTTCAGGTGTTTTCAGTTATAGTAGTGTTCATGTTCTCGTTTAAAAAAAGAAAGGGAAATATAACATTAGGTTAGAACTTAGAACATAGAAAAAAAATGAAGTGAAATCAAGGTGAGAAGTAAAATCATTAGCACTAGATCGATGTGAGAGTACATCCTTAAAATTATTCGAGAATAAAATTAAATCCGGACTAAAATTTAGAAATACCGTGATTATATTATTAAAAATAATATAGTAGGATTCCTTAAACCTGGACGAAAGCTTAGAGATTATCTGATTATATACTAAAAATAAAGATGGAAGTACATTAACTTCAGTTTCTTCACATGCAAGAAATCTGTAGAATAAATTCGGGTGGCCTAACTTTTTTAGTCGGATCATAAAAAATTAAGGCACTCCTAGAAGAATTGGTGGAAGCTACTGAGCTGCTCCATACGTAAGCAAAGTGTTTAAAGTTTAATTACTATATATATATTGTTTACAAATGAAAAAAAAAATTAAAGATTAGTATCAAAATAATTTTGGAAAAAAATTATTTTCGTACAAAAGAGTTTATAATCTAAAAATAGAGAAATGAAAGATTAAAGGTATTGAGATTTGAAATTTAAAATTACTTGGATATTTTTTTAAAAATAATTACGTGAATCAATTAAGTTAAACTTCGGATTTAATATTGAAGAATTAGATTAAGTATTAATTAACAATATTATTTTTTGGAACACAAGAGTTAAATGAAGTCCTTAAGCAAGTCAAGAGATGAAATATACAAAATGATAGAAAATCATCTTATATATTATGTAGACTATATATTATTATAAAGATGGAGAAAAAAAACCAAGCATGCAAAACTGAGAATAAGAGGGTTATCTATATGTTATGAAACATCCATCTATATTAAATTATGAATATTGGACCAAATAAATACGGATCGATAAAGATGAAAGAAGATAAACAAATAAGAAATAAAATAAAAAATACTACATGAGAAGGATAAAAATATATATTGTAGGAAAACCATACTTTAATGATATGAAGATGATTCTGGCCCAAAAAAAAATGGCATGAAGATGAGCTGAGAAATCTTGAGAACAAAGATATTTAAGGTCGAAAATTGGGATATTTTTGGCTTGTATATATCATATATGTAAAGGAATGGAGTATATGTGTAAAGGGTTGAATGAGATTATAAAGGGTGAGTGGGAAATGGCCAAAATATGAAATGCAATCGGAAGAGTTGGAAGTTCACAGATTTCGGCCAGTTCATGCACCACTGTGGGCTTGGCCATGGGTTGACACGCTTTGTAGCCGAAACCTGCCAAAAAGTTTGACCCCAAGAAAATTTGCTATTTTCTAATCAAAGGTATCTCACTCGAAATTTCTTTTCACAAAATATAACAACAAAAAAACAAACGTCTTGAGTAATTCATCTTCAACGGCACACTGCCAACTTTAGAACTAATGGGATTCTAATGAGATATCAATTTCAATTTTGAGAATTACATAAAATGGAATTTATGTATTTTATGTATAGATTGCTACGTACATGATTTAATATGAAAAATATCATAATTTTACATTAAAATTTATATTTTAATATTAAAAATAATAGTCAAAATGATTTTTAAAAAATTTAGTCGAGGAAGCAGTCCATCCGCTTAAATTTTAATACTTCTTTTTAAGATATAAATCATAATATTATTATTTTATTTATTAATGTAATAAAATTTTTTGATTTTATGTTTTTTATTTTTTAATATATTTTAAAAAATATGTGATTTTGATAATCCCACTTATAAAATTTAAAAATTTTACTAATAATATATAAAATAATTATATATATATTTAAATAAATCATATTACAAATATATGATAAGTAGGAGTGAAATACTATATAAGGATTATTATTTTTTTTGAGATAATATATAGGGATTAATTAGTTAATTACAAAATATGAGCATATTTATTACCTAATATTATAATATGATGAGTACCATATATATATATTTTTGATAGTCAATTTTGTAACCTCAAAATACTTTCACCAATGATGCAAATAAAACAAAATATTTGAACCAAACAAAATAATTCATTCATGTTGACGAAGATAAAACTTGAGTTAACGTTTCAACGTTAAATTTAAGAAAAAAAATCGTAAATATTATTAAAATAAAAAAATATTTTATTATGATTAAAGAAAATAATTTAATTTATATAAAATTTGAAAATACTCCTGCTAGTTTTACCAAATATATATTACGAAATAAAAATAAATAAATAATAATAAGCCTATGATTAAAAAAAACATAGTGTGCTAGTAAGGTGATTAATTGGCGGAAGAGACTGACAAGGGTACCCCAGTCTCCACGGCGCAATCAAAGAAGCCAAGGCAAAATCAACGCTGACTGGAGCCATCGCTGCGCCTTCCACAGCCGAATTCCGAGTGGTGCTGTCGGCTCGTCCTGTCAAACTTTGCGGCTATTGGCTCTTACTCGTTGACTTGAGATCCATTTGCACTGCACCAGTCACTTCATTCATATATTTTTTTAACTTATTGTTAAAGCCAAATCAACTCTGGCTTTCCACTGCAGAGTACTTGTTAGAACTGTCGAAAGAGTAAAAGAAAAAAACTTTTTAAAGTTAGCTGCAAATGGAAGTATTTTGATTATTTTCATCAAATTCATATGTTAAATTGATTTGAATTTTTGAAAATCGTATTAATTAGTTTAAAATATTAATTTATCATATTTTAAATAAATAATTAATTATTTCAGCTCTAACTTAAAAGATTAATTTTAATTTTTAAAAATTAATCTTAGATGATCTAAATCCAAAACTATCAACATACATGCATAAATAGTACTATCTATTAATCTTTAATTCATCTTAATCTTTCTAATTTTTAAGTCTTTATTTCATTAATTTCTTATTTAATTCTCAAATTGATTGTTGATTTAAGCGTTAAAATACAATCGATGAAATCACCTTTTTAACTTTTATTCTTAATCCCTATTTTTAATGTTTTTAATATTTTATCTTCCTCAATTAACGTAGGTGGATTCGAATGATAAAAAATTTAAATTTTTTTATTTAAAATTTTAATTTCAAATTTTATAAATAAAAAAATTAAATTTTAAAAAATTTATTTTCTTATGAAATTCAATCGACTTGATTTCTCTAAAATGATTATTGAACATTGAATGCCTCAAACAAAAAAATAATTTATCCTACTCCAACTGCTCAATGCAAACAGTACTCGCGACAAGCTCTTCAGCTATTATTCTTTTTTTTTTTTCCATGAAAGGGAAATTTTCTTTTTTAACAAATTTAAAGAATTGTGATTTCTTTTTTTGGTGAGCAAATTCTCGTATGTTTACACTAGTTACAAGTAACTTTTGTAAAATTCCTAATTGGGATTCTAGAAACACTGAAGTACTGAACACTCATCCGAGGTCTAATTATTATTTTGGAAACATATTGTATATATTGATGAACAAATCAATGACAACAAAATTATTGAAAACCATGTTCTCAACATGCAGCATGATAACTTTTCCTGGTCACTCTTGTTGTCAGGCGACACGTTTCTGAAGCTTGTCAACAGAGGTAATCAGATTCAAGCTCCTTGTGCTTGAAACATCTTTTCTTTACCAGTAAAAGTCTCCTGCCAAATATCCACTAGCCAGTGCTCCAGGGAAAATGAAAATTCATGTGCAGGATCAAGTTCCAAAGCCCAGCACTGGGCACCACTGGAAATAATAGAATACAAACAGATATATTAGTGTAAAAGAACTGATGATTACGGTGATGGAGGAAAAGAAATGGCCCCATCCAGACCTAACCTTACAAGTAACAATGTGTTAACATGTTGGAGCAAAGTTACCTTTTGTCCCTGACTTCCTGGAACAAAGCATTCTTGTTTCCCATTTCCCTTTTGTGCTTGAAAAAGAGGGGAACATCGTACCAGATGCCAAAGCATATTGATCAATTTCCAAATTAAAAATTAGCTTGAGTTTAAAGTAGTGTGGATTTGCCGACAGGCAACAATGGAGAGCTCATCTATAATTTCTGGATTTTAAATTACGATATAAAAATGGTATAAAAAATTAAAAAATTATATAATTAAAAATTTTCACTAAACTTTTAAAATAAATTTAATAAAAACCAAAAATATGTTTCAATTTTAACATTTCGTCTGTTGATATAATTTAACACAATATAAATTCGATATCATAAAAAAGATGACAGAACGAATCATAGAATAATTAGTAAGTAAAATTATCTAGCAAACCTTCGAGATTTCTTCCCATGACGAATGCACTGTGACGCCTAAAATCTGCCTTGCCTCTGTTTCACCCATAATTTTGCTTGCTCTTCTGATACTCTGCATTGTTTCTTGAGCAACACCAGATTTTGAGTCATCTGCGGCGCGATCAAGCACAAAGTAGAAGTGGTCAAATCAAGGATTTCAAACAGAACACTTCCAAGCATTGACAGAGGAAAGACATTCTTGCAATAAGCTGAACGATATGTCTGAAATGCAGCCCTTCCCAATACTCCAGAGCCCATCACAATATTTTTGCAGCCTGCACAAATACATCAAAAAAATTAACTGTCTAATAGCCTTTACCTACTATTTTATTATTAAGGTTTCCCATTTTCGTAAGGTTGTATGAACAAGTAAACCACATACTGTAGCACATACTTGAGCCATTTATGGTAATCAAATTTACGGCCAACAATACAAGTGATTCCAAATACCATGAAGAGACCAAAAACAAAGTTTCTTGTTAAAGGTCGTTTTTAGGATATTTTTTGGGTTAGAGAATAAATTGATGATTTTTTTATTAGAAATTATTAACAAATAATCAAATATATTTTTTATTTTTAAATAAATTTAATATGTCAAATTGACTTAACACGTATAATATCATATCGATTATATAATTACTTTACTTCACATATGTTTTACTTTCGATTTATAAATAAAATCATTTAGGTATTATTTAATTTATTTAATTTTTTATTTACTAACTTATTTTTTTGATTTAAACGTCATAATACAAATATAAAAAACACTTCTTACTTTTACTTTTAACTATTTATTTTTATTTTTATTTTTACAATTTCAAAATACTAGCACTCAATTCGAAGTTCAAAATCAACAATTGTCAACAATCTATTTCAATTTCTTGGACAAATGGTAAAGTGCCAAAACTATCAAAATGATAATATCATAAGCAATTGCATTCCAACATAACACATCACTTTTCGCCTTGTCTAATCTTCCTTAGCATATGAGACATAAGGTTTTACAAACGAGATAGCACCCAAAAATAAAAACCCTTAAAAGTTTAAAATCAATAGACTCAATTATTGACTTTACAGTGCTCGTGAAAATGACATATGCTGGTGAAAATTTTATACAAAATCAGCAAATTAAACACAACCTAAGTGGCTTTGTTTTCTTGAACTGACAACTAATCGAATTAGAATGGAGTGGGCTTAGAGTTCGGCCTGGGAAGTGGCTGATGAAGATGACAAAAGAGATTTTGGGCTTTCAATTTTTTGAAAGAAGGATACTTGTCCACAACTTGAGAAAGAAATTATGCTAAAAAATTTTTTTGGAAGAGAAAAAATATGTAATTTTTTAAAAATAGAAATGGGTGGTTTTTTTTTTTTTTAATAAAAGTTATATTATGTAAAAAATTGAAAGACATGAATATTTTTATTTTATTATTTGATATTATAATTTAAATTAATTTTTTATATTTTTAATTGAATTGGTACAAATTGACTTACGACATTAAATAATATAGATGAATTACTATATCATTAATTAAATTATCTAATGATAAATTTTGTTTACTCATAAGAGATTGGTTCAGTTAGTAAGTATCATTTATTTTATTTCGATGTAAAAATTTTAAATTTGAATTTAATCGATATTTTTTTATTAAAATTATTTTAAATGTATAATCTTTAAATATAATTTATTTTATTTTGATTTAAAAAATTAACTTATTTACCTTAGATTTTTTATTTTAAAAAATTCTATTTATGATGTCTAATTTTTTATTTTAATTTTGCTTTAATCGCTAATCTTTAAATCATTTCATTTTAAATCTTAAAATTTTGAAGTGAATTTATAATGATCTTTTTCATTACATTATTATGTTAAAAATTGAGAAACATGTACACATGCAATCATCATCGGTTGGTAGTAACAACTGATAGATCTTCGACTGGAAAATAGCAAATCATTTTGAAGAAAGACTTGATGCATGTCGTCAACCCAGAGGACCTGATGGTGGATCATTTCAAACGCCAATCATCATTGGTTGCCCGAGTACGGCGCTGGTTGCCACCACCATTATGCTCTGGCGGAGGGGAGGGTTCCAGAGAAGGAAACCAACGTATTACTATCACGAATGCACTAAAATTTAGAGGTATAATCAAATCGAAGTTAGTTAATATAATAAAAAATTTAAATTTAAATTTTAATTCAAAATTAAAATTTTGAAATTTAATTAAAATTTAATTTTAAATTTTAAATTTGATTTAAAATAAAAATTAAATTATTCAAATTCATTTAATTAGATTTGTTTAATAAAAATGAATTCAATTTTCAATTTTAAACTTGATTAGATATATGCATTCAATTTCAAATTTGATTATATTTAAGTTTTTAATATATTAATAAAAAAATATTTTTAAATTCAATTATTTTTTAAGATTAATTTAATAAAAAATTCAATTAATTTAATAATTAATTTATATTATTATCTCAAACTTAATTAATTTATATAAATTAATATGATTAAAAAATAAATAACAATTTTTAATTAAATAATAATAATATATTAAAATTAAAAAATTTAATTAAATTTGTGAATTTTCAAGCTTAATATTAAAATATTTAAATTTAATTTATTTAATAAATTAAATTATTTGAATTTAATTTAAAAGTAATCGAATTAAATTTAAAATTTATTTTAATTGAACTTTAATAACTTATTAGTATTAGTATTGATATATATTTATAATCCACAAAATTATACATAATAAGATTTTTTTTAATTTTTAATCAAAATTATACACAATAAGAGCTTTTTTTTTTTTAAATTTTAATCTACTTTAAAATTTAATTATCCAATTAAAAAGATATTATACGTAAAAATTCTTTTAAATTTGTAACCTTCAAACATCAATTCAAACGACGGGGCAACTGATCCAACGCTATTCGGCTACATGGTAAGAGTTGTACGATAACGAAAAAAGAAAAATCTTCAGCGTTTCTTTCAAGGCACTAGAAATATCTAACTGGACCACACGGTTATTCGTTAGATATTTCGCTAGTTTTGGAATCTCCTACAATTCCGGTGAAAATGACGGCGGAGGTCAAAAAAGGTTTGACAAAAGAAAATCCTCATCTCCAAAGCACTTTCGTGTGCCTCTGCTTTACTCGGTTCGAAACAAATGGCGATTAACGGTGATAGTAACGTCATTAACCGGGATGCTTTCCGTCAAGCCGTCGTTAACACCCTCGAACGGCGGCTATTCTACGTACCATCGTTCAAGATTTACGGCGGTGTTGCCGGGCTTTACGATTATGGGCCACCGGGCTGCGCCGTTAAGGCTAACGTCCTAGCGTTCTGGCGTCAGGTTAGCCTTTTGTTTTTTTCTCAAACTTCCTATTGAAAATGTTAAAACTTTAGCTCACTGATTGAAATTGTTAATTCAAATATAAAGCTTTTACAACCATGGAAAGAGTTATAATGGATTTTGGGATTGAAACCTTGAACCTTAAATCTCATTGGGATGATGATAATAACCAATTAAGTCAAACTTTGGATTGTTTGAAATCCCGCTATGACCAACAAGAGTTGGCTCAACGGGCAAGGATCGTTCTCCTTGACATAAAGGTCTTGCAATTGAGTCCGATGGCAACAAGATCATCTGTAGCTATTGTTCTTAGGTTGTTGGGTATGACATATCTTGTGCGCTGACTTAGGCAACTAAACAACCTATCTATTTCCCGATTTTTTCAAACAAAAATAAAACCGATATGGTTTGCTTATTAATTTGAAATTTTATTACAGCATTTTGTGTTGGAAGAGAATATGTTGGAAGTGGACTGCCCGTGCGTGACACCAGAAGTTGTGTTAAAAGCATCGGGTCATGTGGATAAATTCACTGACCTTATGGTGAAAGATGAAAAAACTGGAACTTGTTACCGTGCCGACCATTTGCTGAAGGATTTTTGCAAGGATAAGCTGGAGAAGAAGGATATTAACATCACAGCTGAGAAGGCTGCTGAGCTGAAGCATGTTCTGGCTGTTTTGGATGACCTTTCTGCTGAAGAATTGGGTGAAAAGATTAGGGAGTATGGCATAGTTGCTCCTGATACTAAGAACCCACTTTCTGATCCTTACCCTTTTAATCTCATGTTTCAAACCTCAATTGGTCCATCTGGGTTGAGCCCTGGGTAAGTTTGTGGTTCAGATTTACTGCATACCTGATACCCCTTTTTTTGGGATTGATTTGTGTATGCATGGAGCCTTGGTTTAAGTGATTTCAAACATGCAGGTTTATGCGCCCTGAGACAGCCCAAGGCATATTTGTTAACTTTAAGGACCTGTATTACTATAATGGGAACAAGCTTCCTTTTGCTGCAGCACAAATTGGTCAGGCGTTTAGAAATGAGGTATAAAACTTTAATATATGATGCATATATTTTTTAATCTTAGCGGAGAGGTATTATCATTGAAACTATTCTCTTTCATGAAGTTGATTTCACTCTGCCCTCTGCTTCTTGTTCATATTTAGGCGTTGATAGTAATCTTGTTTATATACCTGGCATGTATTGAGGCCTCTGTTTCCAACATCATTCCCATAGTAGTAATTGTCTAATTGACTAGGTGAGGGAACGGTTGAAGGAGCTATTCTAGTTTGAGAATTCTGCAGCGCTGAACCCCAGGCCTATCTGTAAAATGTTATGGAAACTTTTATGGTTTTCCCAGTTGAGAGATTCTAAAATCTGGTCCCATTTCCTTCTGATCAGAATGATGCTGGTTAATTGTTGACCATTGAACCTAGACACCATGTGGTAGGAATAGGGGCTATGCTGGAAGTGGAATGGCTAACATTGGTGGTAATAATAGAGCCTGTTGCAGTAGCAGTCTCTTGATTCATTCCTCACCCCCCAGCACTATCATATTCCTTCTTTTTGTCAATACAAAGCTTTTATCATGCTGAAAATGGGGAATTTAATTATAATCTGGCATATTCAAACTACAGATATCTCCCCGCCAAGGTCTACTAAGAGTTCGTGAGTTTACACTGGCTGAGATTGAGCATTTTGTGGATCCAGAGGACAAGTCACACCCAAAATTTTCTGAAGTTTCCAATTTGGAATTCTTAATGTTCCCAAGGGAAAAACAAGTGTCTGGAGAACCTGCAAAAAGAATATGTCTTGGTGAAGCAGTTTCTAAGGTTTGTTGGTTTATGTCCAATTTAATTTCAGCTTAATTTTGCTTCTCTGTCTCAAATGTGATATTTGTCATTGATTTTGTGACAATTTATTGTTTTCTCATAACTGATCAGGGCATTGTCAACAATGAGACACTGGGCTATTTTATTGGAAGGGTGTATCTTTTCTTGACATATCTGGGTATTGACAAAGATCGATTACGTTTTAGGCAGCATCTGGCAAATGAGATGGCTCACTATGCTGCAGACTGTTGGGATGCTGAAATAGAATGCTCTTATGGCTGGATTGAGTGTGTTGGTATTGCAGATAGATCTGCATATGATTTGCGAGCTCACACGGTAAGTGAATAATAAAACTCAACATGAACATCCGACTTGATGAATGTTTTAACCATGCTACTTTCCTTCTTAAATATTTCAAAAGAGAGAAAAAGGAAAACAAGTAAAATAAATTATCCCACTAAAAGGGAAAACAGGTAAAATAGGATGTCTGTCTATATTCCTTTTTTTGGCTATCAATTAATTTATTATCGGATACAAAATTTACTGATGTATTCATGAATGTTTCTTATACTCTAATAGGATAAGAGTGGTGTTCCCCTTGTGGCACATGAAAAATTTGCAGAACCAAGGGAAGTGGAGGTAAGTCTCTCTATTTTATCAATTATGAATAGTTGTATCACGTATGGTTGTTTAATGACTTTTTTGCCATGGTGTGATTTCAGAAACTTGTTATTGCACCAGTTAAAAAGGAGCTGGGCCTTGCGTTCAAGGGTGACCAAAGGATGGTTTGTGAAGCACTGGAGGTAAATAAAATGAATTAATTTGTGATGGTGTGCGATGCGTACAAGGGTGAGACAGAAAAGAGAGGGTGGAATGTTAGAGCCTGGCTTGGCTTATTGCTGAAATATCCAAGCCCTTGTCTTCCAGATATGGTATATTAGAAGAAAATTTTGTGAATTATGATGCATTTCCTGTTTGCGTGCAGGTCATGAGTGAAGAAGAAGCTATGGAAATGAAAGCCAATTTGGAGTCCAAGGGGGAAGTGGAGTTCCATGTATGCACTCTTGCTAAAGATGTTACCATAAATAAGAACATGGTGACAATCTCCAAGGAAAAAAAGAAGGAATATCAGAGGGTTTTCACTCCATCAGTGATTGAGCCATCTTTTGGTATTGGACGGATAATCTACTGTCTTTATGAGCACTCATTCTACACAAGGCCTAGCAAGACTGGTGATGAGCAGTTAAATGTTTTCCGTTTCCCTCCACTTGTGGCACCGATCAAATGCACTGTGTTCCCACTAGTGCAAAATCAACAATATGAGGAAGTTGCTAAACACATTTCTCAGATTTTAACTGCTGCTGGAATATCATATAAGATTGACATGACAGGTATGCACCCAAATAAACTTTAAAATAGTTACTGGCATTCTATGTAGCGAAGTCTTGGATTTGTGTAGAGATGTAAACATAGCAACTGATACTAACATCAATCATAACCCTCATGGTCAAACCAGATGAATTTAGATTCACTTGTTTGTATCTTTCCATCTTCAGGTACGTCCATAGGGAAGAGATATGCTCGAACAGATGAACTTGGTGTACCATTTGCCATAACAGTGGATTCAACTTCCTCAGTGACAATCCGGGAGAGGGACAGCAAAGTTCAGATCCGTGTTAATGTGGAGGAGGTAGCAAGTGTGGTGAAAGAGGTGACTGAAGGTCAAAGCACATGGAATGATATGCTCTTAAAATACAATGCTCCAACAGTGGTGGATGATGAATGATCCCAAGAGGTTTTAGTTCTGCTAGTTGTATGTGAGTTGATTCTTACTATCCTTGGGAAAATCACACAGGGAAAAGTTATCCTTCTGGTTTTACTTTTTCAGTGTTTATCTTGTCAAACATGCATCATGCTGCTACTAAGATACTGGTTATTATACAGTGAGTTTTGGAACAAAAGTATACTATTTGTTGTCGTCTAGTCAGTTCAGAATTATGGCAACGATACTTTGATTGTCAACGTTTAACATAAATAAGATTTCTTCCTTCATTACAACTTGTGCCTAGCTCGTTATCTCTCTCTGACACCTACACTTAATTTATTAATTAAGATATTATTTTTTTTAATTCGAAAGAATCAGTTTTATTCATAAAAAATATTTTATAAGTATAGATTTAAGTTTCAATTTATATATATTATAGTAGATCTTTAAAATATTCTGTGAGATTAGGATGTCACACCTCAATATAAGCGAATTGCGGAATTGGTTGAGGTGGAATCAAAGCTTTAGAAGGCTATATGATCAGGTCCGCCAGAAACAGAGCTAGAAGCTGCGTCTTTGTTACGGTCAGCATGACAAAGTTCTCGAAGCCTTTAATTATTATAAGTTCGCAAAAACAAAGGGAGAAAAATGTGAGTGATGACAGTTCGGATAAAATTTACTTCAATTTTTTTTAGATAATATATAAAATTATAAATTTTAATATCTTATTTAAATTTTAATTGAACTTTTGTATGATCCGATTTAATTTGAATTTTATCAGTTTGGTTTAACTTATCGATTTTTAAAATTTAATTTTTTTTGTTTTATATATTATTTTAATATAATTTTAAATATATTTAAATAAATTTAAGTATAAAATAATTATTTTTATTTTATAAACATTTAAAAAATATATAAAAATTAATAAAAATATATAATTTAAATCAGTTTATTTTATTTTACTTTTTATTTTTTGATCTGAATCTAATATATATATATATATATTTAATATTTAAACCTAATTCGAATCAAATAAAAAAAAATCAATTCAAACCAATTACTATAATTTTAAATCGATTTTTGATTTTTTTGAGTTTTTTTTCCACCCTAACTAGTCGAGATTGAAAATGGGATTGCATGCGAGAATTTGGTTGATGGTTTATATATGATCCCTACATATATATATATATATATATATAAATGGAAATTGAAAATGGAGTTTGGATTAATGGGCCATAAAAATGGAAGGTTAGATATCGTGGGAAACCCGGATGAGCCCACAGGGCTAGACTGAACCTTACCCAAACAAGTCAACCCAGTCCAACTTAGCCGTTGGCAACATTCCTTTTTATTATTTTCCGGGAAGGCTCTGTCCAAAGAAAAGAAAGCCGCAGAAGATAGAAATGCAGAGAAATGGAGTGAAGAAGCTGACTCAACGGACCTCCGCCGCAATCAGATTAACCCCTTCTAACGCTTTACTCTCTTCCTCTCCTGATTTCCTCCATCATTCTAGAGGTACCCATTTTCTCTTTATTCTTATTCTTTCAATTGATATCTTCCTTTTTAGTACCAGTATATGTTTTTCTCTTTAATTTTCGTTGTTGCCTATTGGCAGACCTGACAATTCATATATTCTTGTCGTGTAAAAGATTGAAATTCATGTATTTGTATCATATTTTATACAAAAATTGTGTGTTACAATTCGTGTAAATTCGAAAACATCAAATATATATATATATATATATATTTAAACTCATATATAGATACTACTATAAATTTAAGCCGTGTCACCTTCGTATACTATTTTCATATTGTGTTATACACATGTCTATCGAATGTTAGAGCAGCAAAATATGTTCTTTGTTATGGTATTGTATCTGATACGGTTGGAGGGTTTTCGTTTTTCTTTTAATATGTCTTAAACGTTTGAAATACCATATTCTATGGAGACCCTTTTAGCTACAATTTGAATTGTGTGGCAATTATTTTTTACAGATCATCGTAAAGCATGTGAGGTTCTTGAAGCCTGCAAGCTTTCCTCAGATTATAAAACTGCAAGTGCAATCCACACAAGAATCTTTAAACTTGGGTATGGGACTTACCCATCTCTTGTAGCTACTTTGATGTCAACTTATTTGCAATGTGATCATCTCGTTCTAGCTCATCAACTGCTTGATCAAGTTTTTCGTTCGGACTTTAATGTGGTCATTCTGAATTTAGTCATTGAACGTCTAATGAAACTTGGAGAGTACGGTTTTGCAAAGAGGGTCTTTCGTAAAACGCCTGTTCGGGATGTGATGACATGGAACTTAATGATTGGAGGATATGTTAGAAATGCGTGCTTTGAAGAGGCATTAAGCTTCTTTCGTGAGATGCTTGGCTCAAATGTGGAACCTGATAAGTTTACATTTGCATCAGTTATGACAGGGTGTGCAAGACTTGGAGCTTGTAATCATGCTTTGTGGGTGCATGGTGTGATGAAAGAGAAAGAAATTGAACTGAATGCCATACTGAGTTCAGCACTAATAGACATGTACTCAAAGTGTGGTAGAATTCAAACTGCAAAGGAAGTTTTTAATAGTGTAGACCGCAGTGATGTGTCTATCTGGAATGCAATGATCAATGGGCTAGCAACTCATGGGCTTCCTTTCGATGCAATTGCTGTGTTCTCAAAGATGGAGGTGGAAAATATTTTACCTGATTCAATTACTTTTCTTGGAATCTTAACTGCATGCAGTCACTCTGGTTTGGTTAAAGAGGGTCGGAAATACTTTAATTTGATGAGTAGCCATTATTCAATTCAGCCGCAAATTGAGCATTACGGGGCGATGGTGGACCTCTTTGGTCGAGCTGGCCAGCTAGAAGAGGCTTACGCCATTATTGAAGCAATGCCTATGGAGCCAGATGTTGTTATTTGGAGGGCACTTTTAAGCGCTTGTCGAACTTATAGAAAACCAGAACTGGGTGAAGTTGCCATTGCAAATATATCACGTCTTAAGAGTGGTGATTACGTCTTGCTGTCAAATATCTACTGCTCTCTGAATAGATGGGAAAGCGCTGAAGGAGTAAGAGAAATGATGAAAAATAAGGGAATTCGTAAAATTAGAGGAAGGAGTTGGATTGAGTTGGGAGGAGTCATTCACCGCTTCAAGGCAGGTGATAGATCTCACCCTGAAATGGAGGGATTATACAAAGTGTTGGAAGGGCTGATAAAACGGACAAAGTTGGAAGGGTTTCTTCCTGAAACTGAATTGGTTTTAATGGATATCTCTGAAGAGGAAAAGGAAGGAAATTTGAATCATCACAGTGAGAAGTTGGCATTGGCCTATGGAATCCTAAAAACTAGTCCTGGCACTGAAATTATGATATCAAAAAACCTCCGGATCTGTCTTGATTGCCACAATTGGATAAAAATGGTTTCAAAGCTATTAATCAGGGTGATTATTATTAGGGATCGAATTCGTTTTCATCGGTTTGAAGGTGGCATATGTTCTTGTGAAGACTATTGGTAGCTAATTTATTTGCTCTTTAAAGTTGTGTTTTTATTGTTGAAGGCATTTTATAAACCAAGGTAGCAGAATTAGTGTATTCCCTGGTGCCTGTAAACATCGGGGAGCTGATTGGCCAGGATTGAGGGTTCTACTAGAAAGAAGTACTTATTCTGACTTTTTTTTGCTAGGTATGTCTCCATCCAATGAAGATTGGGGTGTCTTGGAGGCACTCTTAAAATTGGTGGAGTTATTTGTGCTTAATGGGGCAAGTATTCTTTGTTTGTTGCTGTCAAAGCAGTATCCTATCTTCTGTCTTCCTCCATTGCCTACAAAAGTAGGGGAAAAGAAACAAGTATTCATATGAAGCCAATCAATTGTAATATTAACTCAGTGATGGACATGAGTTAGTATTAGTCATATAACTCATATAGTTTGGAAGAGCATCAAACTTAATAGATAGCTGGTACCATGCTTGTCATCTTATACTCTGCAATTTGCAGCATCTGGGGAATCAGCTGAATTTTCAGAAGGTTTTTATGTATCTGTGGACATAATGACCATCGTTCTGGCAACCGGGTATTTCTTCACCTTGTCTCAACAGTTGGTGCCAGGTCTGTTTGTCCCTCGTAACCTGCCCTAATCCTTATGACAATGGTGAGCATTTTTCTCCTCGAGGATTTTCTCTCTCCCTTCCTTAAGCATGCTGCACCTGGCTTCTGTTTGTGACCTGCAGATTGAACTCCAGTAAGGAACCTGGAAAGGATTGAGCAAATACTTGAATTATATTTCTAAAGCAAGTGCTGCTTTGGCAGGTAATTTGCCTGGAAAATTAGAAATGGTGCCAAATTTGATGCTTTTGACAATATTAGCTTGGGAACAGCACCCTCAAAGTTGGATATCTCCTTTTTCACCTTGTGAATTTGTTCCCTATATTTATAAAGAGTTCAGTTCACCCCTACGCTTCTGGTTCTGGGTCATTTTTGGACATTAGGCATATGCCTGGACTCCAAACTTCATAGGATTGAGCTGCCATCGCCTTAACTTGGTGCTTTTTTTTTTTTTATATATATATATATATATATTATTTGATACATTGAAACAAGTGATATTTAAACGATGTCATATTTTATTTTTTTACATGTAAATTAGTTACCATATAGTTGATCTCCAATATGGTTAATTCTTGAGCTGTACTACCTGGGTGTAGTAATGAATTTACCATATAGTAGTACACATTTTTTCCTTACAGATACTATATTTTATTTTTGGTAATCACTTGAATTTAACTGGCAAGATATAAATAAATTACCATTTTAATGCAAAACTTTAGCCCTTCATTTCCCTAACATACTTTAAATATATAATAAATGAATAAATAAAATCATTATTTCATTTTCTATAAAAGAGAGTTAACAAGTTTATTTTGCTTTTAATAGTAAAATTAGTTTCGATAAAATTAAAAGTAACAGTGTCAACGAAATTAAATACTATAACAATTAAATTAACTTCACCACGCAATTAAGTAAAAAAACCTGAACTCCATTCCCGAGGATGCCATGGAATCCAAATGGAGGCTTTACCTATCTTTTTTTTTTTCCAGCTAAAATACCTTGAAATGAGAAAAAAAATACTGAGAAAATGGTCAAAGTAGAATCGTTTGGTGTCGGCAATAGCACATTGTATATATTTTTAAATGTTAAAAAAATTGATTAAATAATTAAGAAAAATATATAAAAGAAAAAGGTAGGCAGTTCGAAGGTTGATGGCAATGGTTGGGTTTCTGGTAACTATGAAATGGACTGCTCATCAAATCATAGAATACTGCATAATTTTATAAAAACACAAAATCAAAATTTTTTTTATTCTATCATCTCTGTCAAATAACATATTCTTTATTAGAAAAAAAGCAAAAAAAAAAAAAAATTTATTGAAGCAAATTTGCCTTTCCTTCTCCATCAAAATCCCTTGTTCTTTCTTTGTCAAACTGACAATAGAAAGGAAAGAAAACCCATTTTTTCATACCCTTAGAAGTCTGGAATTCTTGAGAAATCTCTCTCTTAACTTCTTGTTCTTGTGACATCACAACTGTTTTGCTCTTTCTTTTCTTTTCTTTTTCTTTTTGTTTTTCCTTTCTGTTTTAATTCTCTTTATGTGTCTTGGGTTGTTCTTTGAGCAGTGATTTTTTGCTAGATTTGAGGGATTTAGTCTTTGAAGGAGTAAGACTCGGAAGAGAAAATGGAGATTTGGAAATGGGTACTTTTTGGAATTCTTTTTCTTTCAGCTTTTGTTGTCAAGATTGAGGCTTTCAAGCTAGGCCGTAGTCAACCGACTGAGAGAATTTCAGGTAGGATTCACCCTTTTCCTATGTTTTTCTGAGTGTTCATTTAGCTGAATTGAGGAATTTATTTTGATAATTTTGTTGGGTTTTCTTTACTTTTTTAAGAACTAGTGTAGTGAAGAAATTTTCAGATCTGCTTCAAGTTTAAGCTGGATAATACATTTGCTTGGTGGTTTCTGACTTTAAATGTGTTCCTTTGGCTTTGGCTTTTGCATTTTTTTTTTCGACAATCAGGCAGTCTAGTTGAGCATTCCTAAAAAAAAAAAAAACGTGCCCATTTTCATATGAATGTTATCAAGGTGGATACAGTTCCTAAGGTCTAGAAACTAGATAATTCCGTTGATAACGCGGATAGAACTGCGTATTAGTACCTTAGAAAAAATGTTGGCATTTATAAATTTTTATTTGGAGTATTAATCTGTATAATGCTAAAACAGTGGTAACATTGTTTGATAATTCTAATTTTTGTTTGGACTATTATTGATCTTAGTTGAGTCAACTGTGTCATGCTGCATAGAAAATTAAAAAAAAAATCAGAATAGTCTAAAAATATCCGATGTTTTGGGTTGATCTTATGTTTAAGGTTTATTTTGTCTGAATATGGTGTCTTTTGCATAATTGAATGTATAATAGCTGGCAGAAAAACAAACTGAAATATGATGATTGAAATTCTGTCCTGATGATTGCTTAGGGCTGTTTTGAGTGGAATTATTGAGGATTATTTCTAAGCAAACTGGTCTAGGACATTTGGATTATATCAACATTGTATAAAGTTTGGAGATTTTGTTACAATTTACAAATATGGCATGATCTACTTATAGGGTCTGTTTCGTTTGAGAACATTTTTTTTTCCTTTACAATGGTTTCCAAACTTAGTTATTTATCTTATTTCATGCATCAGATATAGAGTGAAAGTGGAGATGGAATATGGAAGACATTTTCAGATCTACACGTTCCCATAAGGTCTACCCCATGCTAATTTATGGATGTGTATGCACTAAAAGAGATTGAAGAATAGGAAAAGTTCCCTTAGTAGAATTTGTGTTGGTCACCTTTGCCATGTATTTCTTAACAACAAGTGTATGTCATCAAAATGGTGTAGGAAGTTCAATTTAGGAGCTGAGCCCTATTCTTTGAAGTAGGATGCAAGACAAATACTTTTTCAGATCTCGACTATCAAATCAAGGCCTAATTATTCCTCTTAAAATGTTGAATACCAAGATATCCTGTCTATTACTACAATATTTTTCTTTTTCTCCATTGTGCTTTACTCCTAATCCTCAGGGATTGCTGTTCTCCAATTTTTCACAATTCATTTGTTGCGATTATCCTATTACATCACAAATAGTAAAAGTTTACTACTAAATCAAATTTCTCGTTCTATCAAATTTGGAGCATCGCATTTCTAATTTGATGGGGTTTCATGATTGCAGGCAGTGCTGGTGATGTCTTGGAAGATGATCCAGTTGGAAGGTTGAAAGTTTTTGTTTATGAGCTTCCTAGCAAATATAACAAGAAGATTTTGCAGAAGGACCAAAGATGCCTCAACCACATGTTTGCAGCTGAGATCTACATGCATAGGTTTCTTTTATCTAGCCCTGTTCGAACCCTCAACCCTGAGGAGGCTGATTGGTTCTACACTCCTGTATACACTACATGTGACCTGACACCAAATGGCCTCCCATTGCCATTTAAGTCACCGCGGATGATGAGAAGTGCAATACAGCTTATTTCTTCAAATTGGCCCTATTGGAACCGGACAGAAGGGGCTGATCACTTTTTTCTAGTGCCACATGATTTTGGAGCATGCTTCCATTATCAAGTAAGTATTATTCCTTGCCCTCCTTTCTTCTCAATTTCATGCACCCTCTCGTATGATAATTGATGCATTTTCAACTGATTGGCTTGATTATTGTGATTTCCTCTAGTTCCTCACTATAAGCCTTTAGGATTTGTCTGAATGTTGTTTGGTCTTTGTTTTCTGGAAAATGATCCTATCATTTACTTTGAATAGATCTTTAATTACTGTTATGTTATTGCAGGAGGAGAAAGCCATTGAAAGAGGGATTCTTCCCTTGCTACAACGTGCCACATTGGTTCAGACTTTTGGACAGCGGAATCATGTTTGCCTGAAAGAGGGCTCAATCACAATTCCACCATATGCTCCACCCCAGAAAATGCAAACACACCTGATTCCTGAAAAAACTCCTAGGTCCATTTTTGTTTACTTCCGTGGACTGTTTTATGACGTTGGAAATGACCCTGAAGGTGGTTACTATGCCAGGTATGTCTCACTAAGCTAACTTGTTAATAGACAGTTGTTTGAACGCTCAAGGGTCTTTATTTTTCTTATGAGATGTAAGCAAAAGAAAAGTCATTTTGATAAAATACAGTTGCTAAAACACGATAATCAGAGATGTTATGCCATGGAAATTATGATATTGGCATTGAGGGCCTGCTTTCATGTTGCTGAAAGAGCTTACTACAGAACCATGTAGAAATTGCCATATTTCAAATGGAAAATGATTGAATCCAAATTTCTTCAATGCTATATGAAGTTATTTATGGATGCTTGCTGTAAGACAAATGTGATCCTATAGACCTGAGTTCAACAATTTTGCAGAGGTGCTAGAGCAGCAGTATGGGAGAACTTTAAGGACAACCCACTCTTTGACATTTCAACTGAGCACCCAACTACCTACTACGAGGACATGCAACGAGCTGTATTTTGTTTGTGTCCACTTGGCTGGGCACCTTGGAGTCCTAGGTTGGTTGAAGCAGTGATATTTGGATGCATTCCTGTTATTATAGCAGATGATATTGTTCTACCCTTTGCTGATGCAATTCCATGGGAAGAAATTGGAGTTTTTGTTGATGAGAAGGACGTCCCCAACTTGGACACAATACTCACATCGATCCCACCTGAAGTAATATTAAGAAAGCAGAGATTGCTTGCTAATCCTTCAATGAAGCAGGCAATGTTATTCCCCCAACCTGCTCAACCAGGAGATGCTTTCCATCAAGTTTTGAATGGACTTGCACGCAAGTTGCCACATGACAAGAGCGTCTACTTAAAGCCTGGTGAAAGGGTCTTGAATTGGACTGCTGGCCCTGTTGGCGACCTGAAACCTTGGTAGCAGTTGTAACATCAGGTTCCTACAACCTTCCAGCATTCTACCTGGTAGACCTACATCTTGAACTTTATCGGGCTTTATCTGTGTAATTGAGCCACAGATTCAAAATATAAATCTTAGTTCTGCCAAAATGCATTAGAATATACAGTTTTTGGTTGCAGCTTTAGCATCATGACTTGTGATTGTTCCTTGTATGTTTTCTCAGAGTTCAGGACTGCCCAATCTTTAACTCATTTAATTAATGGCATCATTATAGGATAATAATAATCTTTGTGTGGGTAAACTTTGATGTCAAGACTTTTCCGGTTGGTTCATACGAGAGAATATTATTATGGTTTATATAGGCAGCAAATTGAGTGTCTTTTTCATTTTTGTGCAAGACAATATAAATGTTCACGCAGTCCGAAGTTTCCTCTCATTTCCATCATTCATGAAGTCTTGATTTCTTCCATTCAATATTCATAATGCTAGGGCAAAGCTGGATTTTCACTCTCCTTTTTATGGAAAATAGGCACCAAAAAATGTCTTAAGAAAACCCATAAAAAAGACTAGGAAAGTACAAAAAAAGAGCATGAAAGCCACGAAAAGAACAAATGAAAAGAGACGAACCAGCAGGGCACTGCCTGTTGCAATTGTGGTTGGAATTGCAGCAGTTGCTGGTATTATACTTTAACCTCAACAATGCCATTGTAGGGTGAATGAATGCAAGTAATTCTTGCAGTTTGCAGGACCATTCTTGTAATTGTGTTCTCTAAATTTTCACTTCAATCCACTTTGGTTACTTTCTTGGAGCCCTGGAGCTGAAACTGCAATATCTACATTGTTTTGAAAGAGCAATTCTATGTATAGGTTTAGAGAGGCCGGAGAGCAAAGCAGCTGCTTCAAACAGGTTTCACCCCCGTGCCTGTGCGATGTGTCTCAGCAAAGGTGCTCAAAATTTGGTTTAAATCAAATTAATCGATCGGATGAATTTAATTTATAAATCGGTCAGTTATCGAATTTTAATTGATTATTAAATTTAATTTTAAAAATTTTTATTTTTTGATTAATTTAATTCAAAAATTAAATTAATTAAAAATTTAATTAAAAAATAATAAAATCTATATATAAATTTAAAATATATACAATTATTTATTTTTTAAAATAATTAAAATTTTTAATTTAATATTTTTATAAAATATTTTTATTTAATTTTTTTCACATATAAAATATTAGAAATTAAAAATATAATTTAATTCAGTTGATTAAATTTTAAAATTAAAATTTTAATTAAAAAAATAAATAATTTAATTAAATTCAAAATTAACCTAATCAATCAAATGATATAATTTTGTCAAAGGTTATTCTTAATGTCTAACCCTAAGTTTGGATTTTATCGATATTTTATGCAGTATAATTGAGTTTATCACATCATCAATTAAATTCAAATATTAACTCCAATAAAATTTATTTAATATAAAATTTTTATTAAAATTTTTTTCAATCATAATTGCAATAAATTTTTTAATAATAATAATAATAATTATTATTATTATTATTATCAAAATTAATTTTACTACTCAAAGCTTAAATAGTTGTGATTGTCATCCTAATAGATATTTTGATTAAATAGTCGGGATTGCCATCCTGTTAGATAAAATAGTGCTGTCCAATACACTTAATAGGCGTTTGATTCGCAAAATTGTAAATTCCAAAGGAAAGTGTGATATTTGAGAAAGTATGCTATCTAGGGTTTTCTTTCATTTTCAGGGCATTCGGTAGTCAAATTCATTCATTTGATTAGAGAAAATTCACATATATTAATTCTTGAATAATTACTATAATCTCTTTGACATATATGATGGTAACTCTTCATTAGCTTTTGTTAATAATAAATACCCAAATGACAAATGATATCTTTAATAATAAAAGAAAATAAATATTTTTATGATTGTTATTTTTATTTATAAAAAATCATCAATAAAAAATATTAAAAATTATTTAAGGTGTTTTTGGTTGAAAAATACCTTAAATAATCTCTTTTATTATTTTAAAAGAAGATTATTTAAAGTATTTTTCAATAAAGAAATCTTAAATAATCACTTTCATTTTTAAAGGGTATTATTTAATATGTTTCTAAAAACGCCTTAAATAATGTCTTTTAAAAAATTTGTGGTTTTGTTTAAAATTTTTTTGTCTAAAAACACATTAAATAACGAGATTATATTTGTTAAAGGGTATTATTTAAAGTATTTTTGGACCAAAAATACTTTAAATAATGTCTTTTAAAAAAATTTATGATAATTTAAGATATTTTTTGTCGAAAAATACCTTAAATAATATCTTCATATTTGTTAAAAGTCATTATTTAAGATATTTTCAGACTAAAAACGCTTTAAATAATGCTCTTTAAAAAAATAAAGGAAATTATTTAAAGCATTTTGGTCTAGAAACATCTTAAATAGTCATATTTAAAAAAAAAAGATTATTTAAAGTGTTTCTGGACCAAAAATGTCTTAAATAATCTTCATTAAAATTATTAAAAAATTATTTAAGATATTTTTGATTTAAAAACGCCTTAAATAATGCTCTTTAAAAAAATTTTATGATATTATTTAAGGTATTTTTTTATCTAAAAATATCTTAAATAGTGTTATTTAAAAAATAAAAAAGATTATTTAAGGTATTTTTGGACCAAAAAGACCTTAAATAATCTATATTAAAAAATATCAGGAGATTATTTAAGACGTTTTTGGACCAAGAACACTTTAAATAATATCTTTTAAAAAAATAAAGTAGATCTTTTTGGTACTTAAATAATCCTCGCTAAAAAATATCAAGGGATTATTTGAGGTATTTTTTGTCCCAATCACCTTAAATAATATCCTTTAAAAAAATAAAAGAGATTATTTAAGATATTTTTCATTCAAAAATGCCTTACATAATTTATTTATAAAAATATAAAAGGATTATTTAAATCATTTTTTTTATTCACAAACGTTTTAAATAATCTTTTTTATTAAAATATAAATGGATCATTGAAGACGTTTCTTTAACCAAACGGCTTAAATGATAATTTTTAAAGGTTTTATTATAGTAAACAATAAAAAGCTGCATTGTGAGTAAACCTCTAAACCATCAACCCATTTAGTTTGCTTTTTGGTTTCATCATTTCTCTTGTTGCTGCCGATCGTCAATCACTCAACATAGTTGAATTTTTTTTTTATTGGTATGTGTATTTTTTATTCTTTTTTTGTATTATTTTTTTGGTTTGATATAAGTTTTTTTTTTTTCCTTACTATATATATTTTGTGTTTTTATACATATTCCACTATCACCTACGTCGCCCAACCACTTTTTATTATATGCATGGTTTCTCTTTGTTGTTTGGTTTAAGTATTATGATTTGCTGAATCGTTTTGTAAAAATTAGTTGTTATATTTGTACTCATCAGTTGGTTTACATGGAACTTTTATTTAAGGTGGAAATTAGTATATGGCTTGTACCCGTAAAATATTATTAGACATAGGATGCTTTATGTATATTGGTTTAGTAACTGTAGTGGATATTGGTTTTTTTTTTTTACTATGTGATAGTTAGAGAGATAGTTTTGTGTACCTCATATAATTATGATCAAAATCACAAGTATTATGAAATTAAAAAAAACGTATGTCTTTTGCTACTGAACATGAAGATGACACACCCGTAGTGAAAAAAAAGAAAAGTAAGGGGACGTGGTAAACAAATTTAAATAATTGACACGAAAATTCATGTCAACTTCAATCAAAGTGGACAGCTTGTGTCAGATAGAGCTGCCAAGTTGGCTAGTCACATTGGAGCGATCATTCGTAGTAGTATTTTTATTATGTACAATAATTATTGACGAGTTTCTAATGATCAAAAGAATCGAATATGATAATCGATTTTGGTATTTTATTCATCAATATCCAAAAATTTGTTTCTAATTAAAAATTTAATTAAATAATATGTTCATAGTAATTGTTTTAAATTTATTTATTAGAAACAGTTTGATGTCCTAAATGAGTATAAAAAACTTATGTTGCAATCTGTTGGAAAAACATTTAGAGACTTTAAGAGCAGATTGACAATCCAATATATTTTACCATTCATTGATAATAGTGATTTGCTGATCCTCCATTATCATATGCAGATGTTATTAGTTATCAAGATTGGACGCATTTTGTTCAAGATCATCTATTAGAAGAATTCTCGGTATGCATACCCATTTTGTTAAGTGTTTATAATATTTTGTGTAATATATTCGATATCTTATTATGTGATTTATCTTTTTTTTTTTTAAAAAAAATAAAGAATAACAAAAAACCATTCGGTCCAAACAAGTATATCACCATTGGATATCAAGAAAATGTTATGTAAATGTTAAGCATGATCTTATAAGTATTCGTACTCGTGTTTTATACTTATATATGAATATTTATGAACATTCAATTAATAGATTTTGATTCTTATATCACCTTAATTTATCAGGAATCATCTAGCTCTGCAACTGAAGTTCCTAGATGGGATATGTGGAAACAATGACATATGTGAAAGGATAGATCATTCATAGATGATGTAACCAAAAAAATGGCTAAAAAAATTATCTATATAACTGATCAACCTATCTCATATAATTGATTTTATGTTTGTATGGATGACTATATATTGTATAACCTTATTGTTACGCACCATCTTATTATGTTTCATGATGAATTTGCTATTACATTTGAATCCGGTGAACTGCCAACCGATTCTTTTTTAGCTGTGATACATTTTTCTTGATCATTTCATCCAAATTCACTAAAATTTTTCATATCACAAATTACATGATATTATCTTTTAAGCAGCTTAACCCTATATTCGATATGAGGGGTGGTTTTAAGTTGTGAAGTAGGAATGATTTACTCCAGCAATTAGTTAATATAACCTAGATATTCGATGCGAAATATCTCATTATCTGCTCTCCATCTAGGATCTTCAACCAAAGAATGCAGGTATAAAACCAGATGAAAATCTTTCTCTTAAGTCCATGAATGGTTATCGACGCTTGAACTATCCAAGCTTCTTCTAAAAATGCATTGAATTGATTGTGATGGATTACTACGTAATGAAAACATGTTTAATTACTAATTACATGGTTAGACATTATGAAACAATATAACTATAGTAAATCAAAATAATTAAGGGAATGAAATAAACGAATACACAAGGAAATTAAAAAAAAAATGTGTACTCAAAATTATAATATTCATTAGATAATCAATGAACACCTAATTATATTGTAAAGATATATTCAACATTGATATAAAGCAAATTATTGGATTCACTCAAACTTATGGTACATACAATAAAAACCACTAGATAAACAAATAATAAAATACAAAACATATCCATAATATTATTATCCTCGTGATTGCAACTAATGGATGAACATCTAATTAGCCAATTTATCTCTAAAGTGAGTCCAAGAATCAAATGGCTCAACATGTATAATCAAATCTTGATTTTCAGATTCAATTGGTTGAGAAATACTTCTTTTAATAATTGTCACGCCTCGAAACCGAGACATAATACGACCATATTACTTTAAAGTAAAATCCAAAAATAATATGAAGCCTTCTTTCTTAACCATTTTAAATTTTTTTAATAAAATAATTTGCTATGTAAAATCCATCTTTAATTCAACTAATGATAAATATCTA